TGTAAAAATTTCAAGTTTATGTGATAAATGAACTCACCAAATTAAGCACCAATTATGACTTCATAAACATGCTTAATAAGGTTTATAATTGTAGTAGATTAGTGATACAATCACACATTTAATCTACCTTTAACATGCCATAATTAATTAAGGTTTAAAGATTTAAAATTTTTCGTCAAAAACAAAAAACCCCTCGAAAAACATGTTTCTGGGTGGATTTTGGATTGTGAGCAGTTTTCAAAGAGAGTCAAAAACGATTTAGAACATTGATTCCACCCAAAAATCACTATTTTTGATTCGAAATCTGGGTTCGTTGGCCAAAAATAGTAAAATACGAGATTAAAACTAATTAAAACGAGCTTCTAATCTAATTAGAAAGCAAAACCAGAATTTAAATCCATTTTAAATCACCTTAATTAATTATTAGTTACAATAATTAAATTGAGCGCGGCTCCGATACCGCTGTTGGGTTTCGTAGGGTCTAACGCTACGCGGAAAAGAAACCCGCTCAAGACCCGCCCACTAATTAAAGTAACTAAGCATGCAATCACATAATTAAACAACAAAAGAAAGAGAAAGGGAAATAACATTCTAACCCTCGACGCGTGCTTCGCTCCTATAGAGCTCGGACTTCAAAGCCTTAGCTCCGCAAGCGCGAGAGCCTCCGAAAGAGTCCACCCTGAAGACCTGACCCGAACGGCCTCTACCCTGAAGGTTAGTGGGGCTAGACCAAGAAAAGACTAGAGTATTACGAACTTAAAGGTTTTCTCACCTATAGGGAGATGCCTTATTGAATTCAACTCAAGTGATTTTCCCAAACCCAAAACATGGGTATTTATTGGGAATGGAGACTTGATCTCCCTTCTCCCATCAATGTGGGATATTTGCATTTTTCCTCTATTTTATTTTAATCAAAAACAAAATAAAAATGCAAGGCAATCAACAAGCTCCAAGTGTCACATGGAGAGAGAGAGTAGTTGAGGACCACCAAAGGGGGGGGGGACCAAATCACCTTGCTCCCCAAGCCACACACGAACCCCTTGGTCCCCTCCTCTTGACCGGCTGACCATGCCACATGGCTGGTTGGCAGCCTACCTAGGCTGCCAGCTGGCGCTTAGCACCAAGGCTGGGCTGCCCAGCCAGCACGCCCACGCATGCGTGCAACTAGCAAGCCATGCATGCGGACTGATGCTCCTAGGCGCTGCTATGTGCGTGTACTGGTGCTGCTGCTATGCGATGCCTAGCACGCATAGCCCATAGCACAAGCATGCATAACGTGCTGTTATGTTTGTGCTATGCGCTTCCTGCTTGCGATAGCGAGGCCCAGCAAGCACTTGCGTGCTGCTGGCCTTGCGATGTTTGTGGGCTGTGCTGAGCCATGCCCAGCATGCTGCGATGGCTGGTGCTGTTATGCTAGCAAGCACGCCCAGCATGCTTGCACGACCACATCATACACACGCATGGCACGCATCTTGCGATGCTTGTGCCATGCTATGTGCGTGTGCTACGCGATGTTAGGCACGCATGACACACATGGGTTGGTGACCTCGCCTAGCTTAGCACTCGCATGACTAGGCCAATGCGAGGCTACGGCTTGGCTCAAACTTGTCGCTTGTTGAATCTACGTCTCGTCGAATTCTAAATTCAACTCGACTTACGACGCTCGGTCTCAACGCTCTAAGCTCGATATCCGACGTCTTTGTTCGTAATACTTTAACGACTCATTTAATCCTTCGGATTAATTCGTCGTCTCGGATCGGTTACTCGATTGGGTGTGACCCGAAGGGTTCAGTCAAGATTAAGCTGTAATATTAATTACACATTAATATTACTGATCGGAAGCGGCCTCCACCTAGGCATTCCGATCACTTGACCTCACTGAATAATTAGCTTTCCTAATTAATTCTGAACCCTCTATCGAAATAATACACTTGTTCGAAGGACACCATTCCTTTCAAAAGGGATTATATGACTGTATTTAACATTTAATTCAAAAAGTTTATCCTAAACTTTTTATCAACCATCTGGGCATTGCCCGAGCACAAAACTAGTATATATATAGGGGCAGGATCATGTGAGAACCAAGACTTATATGATAACCTGGTTAAAATGAGAACCAATCTCATGCCATCCATTTAATTAGATCTGACGGTACACATTTTGCATAGAAAGTGTAATTAATCAGCCTCATTTTGCACGCATTCCAGAAATTGAAGAGAGAGAAAATCTTATGACCCACCACTTTCTATTCTTTTCAGAAATTCTCCCATCTTCCAATTTCTCTTTCCTCCATTACTGAATATAGAGTGAAATATATATATCAAAAAGCAACCATGTCTAACCTACCTCAAGAATATTGATTTTAGAAGGACGAAAACGAAGAAGAATTATCAATAATCATCCTGAGTAATGGTCTTTCTTCTTCAATTGCGTCAAATGTTTATGGTCTTTTGGTTGGGAAAAGCTCATTCACAATGTCTAATGGTGGCAAACATCCTTTTATCATTTTGTTAATTTCGTTTTTTTTTTTGGGGGTAAAGGTAGTATAAGAAAAAAAATGCACATTCATGTAATAAATCTGCGTATTTTGTTTACAAAATTTGCATATTTGATTTTTAATTACTTATTTTATTGTATTAAAGGAATAATTTTGAGATGTTTCAAAAGATGTTATTATTGTTTCAAAAAGACTTGTCGCTGTTTCAATTAAAAAATGTAATGTTACATTGAATTGTGTTGTCAACGTTATGTTAAAATGTAGTTGAAGTGTACGTTAATGATGTTTTATAAAACATATTAAGTGTTTCAATTTATAATATTAATGTTTCATATATATTATTGCTTGTTTCATATAGTTGGGCTCTATATGAACTAGGTTTACTGTGATTTCTTATACCTTATTGATGTTTCAAAAAACATACCTTATGTTTCATTTTATACTACTTATGTTCCATAAAATATATGTATTGTTTCATATACTAATGATATTGTTTTATACATAAAAATCATTGATGTTTTATATAATATTTCATTCAAATATTATTTATATTGTTCCAGAAATATGAACTATTGTCCCATAAATATTATACATTGTTCATACATAAGAATTAGTGTTCCAATTACATGATATGCCATAGTTTTCGAATTTTAATTATGTTGTTCCATAAATTTGAAATAATGTACCACACATATGGTCTATTGTTCCATAGCCATGAACTAGTGTTCCAATTGGATGATATGCTCATTATTGTCAAATAGTATTTACATTGTTCCAGAAATATGAACTATTGTCCCATAAATATTATATATTGTTCCATACATAAGAATTAGTGTTCCAATTACATGATATGTCCATAGTTCTCGAATTTTAATTATGTTGTTCCAAAAATTTAAACTATTGTACCACACATATGGTCTATTATTCCATAGACATGAACTAGTGTTTCAATTGGATGATATGCCCATTATTGTCAAATAATAACTGTATTGTTCAAGAAATATGAACTATTGTCCCATAAATATTATATATTGTTTCATTTATAAGAACTAGTGTTCCAATTACATGATATGCTCATAGTTCCAATTACATGATATGTCTCACCATATTAATTCTTATGTATGAACAATGTATAATATTTATGGGACAATAGTTCATATTTCTGGAACAATATAAATAATATTCGAATGAAATATTATATGAAACATCAATGATTTTTATGTATAAAACAATATCATTAGTATATGAAACAATACATATATTTTATGGAACATAAGTAGTGTAAAATGAAACATAAGGTATGTTTTTTGAAACATCAATAAGGTATAAGAAATCACAGTAAACCTAGTTCATATAGAGCCCAACTATATGAAACAAGCAATAATATATATGAAACATTAATATTATAAATTGAAACACTTAATATATTTTATGAAACATCATTAACGTACACTTCAACTACATTTTAACATAACGTTGACAACACAATTCAATGTAACATTACATTTTTTAATTGAAACAGCGACAAGTCTTTTTGAAACAATAATAACATCTTTTGAAACATCTCAAAATTATTCCTTTAATACAATAAAATAAGTAATTAAAAATCAAATATGCAAATTTTGTAAACAAAATACGCAGATTTATTACATGAATGAGCATTTTTTTTCTTAAAAAACAAAAATTAATTGTCCTAATCAATTGAAATAAAAATCTTATACTACCTTTACCCAAAAAAAAAAAAACGGATGATTGAACCAACCAAGCTTGAAATATGCCGGATGAGAGTGATAATGGCGTCAATGAGAAAGAGGAGATAGTTCATATATATATATATATATATCAGAAAGAGGAGAAAATTATGAATGGAATAAATTAGCTAGTTAAATCTCTTGGTTTTCCAATGCAAATTAACGTGTTTCAATGCAAGAAATTAAAAAAACCATGCAATAATGACAGACTTTGACAGATTTTGTGTCCCAATACAAAAAAAAAGGAGGCCCACTTGCACAAGTCATAATACCAAGATTTAATCTCAACCATCCATAACATAAAAATGGATGGTGTAAGATGGGTTCTCACCTTTAAATGGTTCTCACCTAAGGTCATGGTTCTCACATGATCCCATTTCTATATACTTCTACCGTTCTTTTTTAATCGCATCACTCACTACTTTACGAAGTTTACTTATTATTGCATCATTTTCTTTTTAGGATAAAAAATACTTATGTTCACACTGCAAATACCCAACATACCCTTACTTTTTCACACTTTTAATTTTATCTTACATTACATGGACAATTTTGTATTTTTACGTTTCTCTTTCTTACTTTTTTCCACTACCAAATTTTGCCTCCAAAAGCCCTATGATGTAATAAAAAAAACGGAGAAAGTATATATATATAAATAAATATATATATATATATATATATATATAGGACCAGGTTATAACGAGAACCAATCCTATAATATGAAATAGGAACTAATCTGGACGTCAGATCTAACACCAAAAGCGCGCGATCTAACGGCCCAAATTAAATCAGCGATTTTCACTTTCATTAGTTTCTCTCTCCTCTCCTCCGCGATTTTCTCTCTCCTCCATTGCAACGAGTCCTCTGAAGTCTCCATTGAAGCGGCTTTCGAGCTTTCTCTACTCCAATGAAGCAGCTTATGAGGTAAGATGTTTGTTTTTTTCTTTATTTTTTTTAAAAAATTAAATCACGAATTTCACTTTCATTTGTTTTATCGTTAATTGTTTTTGTCAATTTAGGGTTCTTTTTATCTGGATTTATATGATAATGTTTGAAGTTTATTGTGATTAAAATAGGTATAATTTGATAATGATTTCAATTCAACGTTATAATTCCTTCTCTTTGGATTTTTTTTTTTTTCAATTTAAGGCTTGATTCTTTTTTTTTTTTTTTTTTTTTTATTTGCAGAAATTTAAGGCTCGATTCTGATAATTTTTGCTCGAAATTTGGCGATTTGTGCTTAATTTCATCTGAATTTAAGCAAAATCAAGTGAATGCACACTAACTGTTTGATAAAATGCCCCAGTGCAAATCTTTTCTTATCTTGTGGATGATTTATTGTGAATACAGAAAAATTTTGTAAACTAATTTTAAACTCAAAGCCTCGATAAATACTTGAAATTATTGATTTCTGTGTTTGATTGTCCAAATTTTGATACTCCATTGAAGCAGTTTCTGATGTTTGATTTTACTATTTCTGGTTTTTCTTTAATTTTAAATCAATTGCAATTCAATTAGATTAAAATGTGTTAAAGTAAACAAAAATTGTGCAAAAGTAAACTAAAATTGTGCAAAAGTAAACTATATATATTTGGATCCTACTTTGGCTACACAGTATAGTTTATCTGATGTAATTTGAATTGATTGAAGTTAGAGATTTTTTAATGCATTTATCACAGCATTTACAACTGGAAGTAGCTCTGGAGGTGATAGGGAAATACTGGTGCAGCACCTGCTTGTCAAAGAAAATGATCTTAACCTTTTAGTGGAGCTTCAAAAAAGGGTTGTAGGAGGTATACTTTTGCTGAAATTGTATCAAGTGATTGTGTATGCAGACATGATTGATGGGTTTATGCTAGTTTATGTTGTTGAATGTCAGGGGAGGATTTAAGTGATCTTGCTGTGGAATACTCTATATGCCAATCAATAGAAGGTATGTTGGTTTATCTATGTGGATTATTGATGTAATTCTGCCTTGATACAAAAAGGTAAGCAGATGGAATGAATTGCTGAGAATATAGCTAGAGGTCTTAAACATATTGATATTCTTACAAAAAAGGTATTATTCTTTATGAACTTACTACTTGTGGAAGTGAACTACCATTCCAATTTAATGATCCTCAAATTTTACTGTTTAGAAAAGCCAACCTTCAGGGCGGGAGTCTTCCTGTTTAGAAAAACCATGTTTGCTAGTTTGCGTACTCCACCCATTTCCTTGTGCTTTTCATGAGATTCAGTTTTTTTCCCCTTTTTCTTTGAAGGGTATGGGTTGGTTGGGGCCTTGGGGGAAGGGGGTGGGGCTGATGGGAATTACGGGGAAGCTGTTGTGGACCCTTGTGTGTACAGCTATAATGAGATGTTCATTTATCAAGCCTAACTATTACTGCATTTGAACTCTCTTGGAATAAATATTCAGAAATTGCCTATATCTTTTAAATTTCCAGTTCACGCCTGGATGCTTTTGTTTAACTCTCAAAGTCATACTTTTTAGATGGTTGTATGCATTACAGTTCGATCAATATGGTTGTATGCATTACAGTTCGATCAATATCTCTTATTCTCTGAGTTGCTTGTTATTATTAAAATGCCCAATAAACCTCGTCATAGACTGCTTTTGCTTATATACATTTCTAAATTTATGATGTTGGTAAAACACAAAAACGAAGGTATTTACTTGGTCACTGTAAAATGTGAGGCAGTTATGTGTTGAAATTTAAAACTTGAACCTGCGTGGTGAAACTGCTTTTCAGAAAGAGGGGTAATGGGGATCTTGAGTTGAGCATGTAAGCTCCAAAATTAGATCTAGTCACAAAGTACCGGGAGGCTTCTACGATGAATCGTTTGTATATTAGGATGGTTTTAATTTACAAATAGGATCCCTAGTCTAGGCCATTTAGGATTTTAGGACAGGGCAGCTTTAGAATGCCAATATTTTAAATTATTGTCACTCAAGGGAAAAGAGGAAGATAGCCTGTTAACACGGAGCAGTTTTTGGCATCTTAATGGGATCCAAACACATCAGATTAGCTCATGCAGTTTTTGGCGTGAAAAAAGTAAATAAAAAAGACTCTAAAGTGAATAAAAAAGACTTTAAAGTAAACCTTTTAGCTCAGGTAGAGCACTATGCGTATGCATAGAGATGTAGGTTCGATTCCTACATAGGATATCTTAAAAATTAATTACAAAACACTCTAAAGTTATTCAATATATCGCAAAAGTAAATCAAAATATCTCAAAAGTAGAAAAACTAAAAAATATAAATTAATACAGTATATGTCAAAAGTAAATCATAATTACTCTAAAGTAAACAAATAATGATAAAAAAAGTAAATAAAAATATCATTAAAGTAAATCAAATCAGCTCTAAAGTATATGAATAATAAATTATCTTGAAATGATAAATGACTAAAGAAACTTTAATTAGCTCAAATGGTAGCTCACTTTGCGGATGCATAGAGGTGTAGGTTCTATTCCTGCATAGGTTATCTTAAAAAGTAACTATAAAACACTTTAAAGTAATTCAAAACATCTCAATATCAAAATAGCTAAAAAGTAAATCAAAAGTAAATAATATTTACTTAAAAGTAAATTATTGACAATCTCTAATTGCTATGAATGCTTAAATATCTAGTATAAGTGATAAAACCTTCTGTCATATCTTTAATCCTTGGATAAGTGAGCTTGAGTTTGTAAGTAATAAAAGTAGATACAAAATAAGTTGAAGTAAATAAAATATCTCTTAAATTAGATACAAATAAAGTTATGTTCTTTTATTTCGTATCCGGGTAGGGGTTGGAGTTGGAGATGGGGCATGTCAGTGTTTGGTGATAAAGTGTTGAACTTAAAATACCTCAGCTCAAAAGTAAATAAAAAAGGCTAAAAAGTAAATTAAAACATCATTAAAGAAAATAAATAATAGTAGGCTTCGGACAGTGATCATGGATGAGTTGGATAAGGTTGTAGCTGGAAAAGTATGCTCATACTACACTTCTCCTGCAATTGTTGAACTTCTCCCATTAAGATACGACCTCCAACTAGCAAGAAGATTGGGGTATTTAAAAGTAAATAAAAAAGAATCTAAAGTGAATAAAAAATACTTTAAAGTAAACTGAATGAAATACACACAAATAATTGAAAGAAATAATTTCATCTCATAAATAAATCTACGTGGGATTCGAACCCACATCTTTTGTGCACTTGCACAATGCTCTACCTATTGAGCTAGTAGGCTAGTGTATATTGTCGAAGTAAAGAAAATTACTCAAAAAGTAAATAAAAAAAAAAAAAACGATCTTAAAAGTAAATAAAACGATCTCAAAAGTAAATCTAATTTCAGACTTTGGCATGGCAAGAATATTCCAAACTGATGCATATGAAGCAAATACAAACACAAACTGCAAGCTGTGAATGATATAGAGCATGCTGCTTCTTCCTACTGTTGTTGCTGCCTCTATATGCTGCTGTTGTTGCCTCAAAATGCTCATATCCAATTTTTTTCTACAAAATGTCAAAACAAGCTGAAGCAACATGTATAAAGACTCCATATTACCGCCATCGTCTCTATGATTGATATTCAAGAAATGACTGCCCTCATTGGACATATTGAGCACATGAAAAAGTTTTAAATGGCAGGAATTCGACATATTTCCGTCAAACCAACTGCATGTTCTTTTGTAGCCTTACACCTCCTACTAACAGAACTCCACTAACTCATCATCATATTATAGTCTTTCTTCTTTCAAGCATTTCATCAAACATGTAATACTCAATCTAAAGCTCTAATTGAATCCCCAAATAAAATGTCTCTTCAACATCCGTATTATCTACTTTAATAGAAATTACAAAAGAGCTGAAACAATTCGGCAGCTACCTTATTTAAATGATGTTAAAAATAAAATCTTCAGATTAACATACAAACACTTGCCTGAATAAACAGTAGAAATTTCCGCAATTGAATTAGAATATTCATACAAAAAACTGAAATTTTTTTAACTTTAGCAATCAAGATAGCAAGCATAAAGATGTAAAGACCCTAATATATCAAGTAAATAATTCACAAAACTATAATTCCAACAAATTAGATCATAAGTACGCAAATTAAAGAATTGTAAAAACTCTAATACGAAGTAAATCAATCGAAATTACAAATACCAAAACAAAAATTTGTGAAAACCTTAGTTTTCGCAATCGAAATCACATAATATATTTTAAAAATTCGAATTAAACCAAACTCAACAACAATAATCGAAATCAAATTAACTTACCTGTTCATAAATAACAAAAAACAAAGATCCAAGAACAACTTCAACGAACATCTACAAAACTTAAGAGATTGCACGTCATACCTGATTTTTCGAACAAATAAAACCCTAAAATCAACCCAATTAGAAAAAGATCAATTCAACAAGGAACTAATTTGAAGATAGCATACAATTAAGTAATTTTTCGATGAATTTCCGAGATTGGAGGCAAAGTTGTGGAGGCGGAATCGTAGATGGGAATCGCAGTTCAACCAAAATCGTTCAGGAGAAGAGAGTACCAAAAACGAATTCGCAAGAGAAGAGAGAGAATATGAAGGAGGAAAGAGAAAATGTAATTAAGAGAGACAAAGTAAAATGAAAACCGGGTAGATTGAGGGTAGTCATTTAAAGCGCAATATTACAAAAATGCCATTAATGAGGCGGGTGGAATGTGAGCCATTAGATTAAGCGCGATCAACGGTCCATATAAGTTCCTAGTTCCTATTATAGACCTAGGTTCTCACATGATCTTGATTTTATATATATATATATATATATATATATATATATATATATATATATATATTTGATGTTGAGATATGATCTTTAGGATTTGTACTTTCATGTAGGTATCTTTTATCTTCTCCGTAGGCTGTATAATATTTCTTTATAGTTATGATACATAGTTATAATTGTTTTTCTATTAATATGTTTCAAGATTATTATAAAGTCATCTTACGAATAATATGTTTTACCTTGCTTGCTGTAGAGAATATTTCAAACATCAACTTTGAGCCCACTGTGATCATGCATTTATGCATGGTGGTGTCCAAAGGGAAAAAAGTTAGAGATAAAAGAGTCGCCAACAAGTTTTAGGAACTTGTAAACCGTTCACGAGTGTGAAGGTTACACCCCATTCACGGTCACGGAGAGCGCTAACTCCATAGTGGTGCGAAACCATGACTGGATATTCAGGGATGATGATACGAATCCAGCCTAAAAGAGATTGAACCCGCCCTAAATTGGCCTCTACTTAATTCTTATGATATTCATGTGCGCTTCCCGATCAACATACATACAACAAGTTAATCCTAACCCTGTTTAATCTATGTTGGTTGATTATTAATGCACAAATAAATCTATTATTGACGACCACTTGAAATTAAAATCATATTAAGCCTAAAACAAAATTATTAATTATCTTATTAGACGTGATTCAAGTACAAATTCCCTTTAAACATGCAAGAAGGGGCGTGATCAAGCAATAACAATCAATAATAATAATCAAGCAACATAATTATTAATTGACACAACAATCATCATAATAATCAATATAAAACATAATTAGCAAGATCCTAGGCATGATACTAAACAGATTAATAACAAACCCTAGCATGTCACTAAATAATAAAGATTAAAGCTTTATCCTAAACATGATACTAGAAACCAACATGATATTAGAAATATTAATTAACACCCTAAACACGATACTAGAAATCATAAAAGCATCCTAACATGATTCTAGGAATTAAAATAATATTCTAAGCATGATTGCTGCATAAAAGAATAAATATTAGGGAGATCAAATTACTCACTTTGATGGCTTGTATCTCTTTCTATCAAAACAATACACGAGTTAGTAACTTCAAGAAAGATTAAATCAAACAAATCAAACAAGAATTGAAATATAGATTAGGGACCAAACCTGCAAAAATATCAACCTTTCACGTCGAGGTCGAAGGCAACTACGAGAAGGGCTTGGAGTATTCAAGTGTATGGTGTGTGATGTGTTTAGGCTAAGGCTAAGAAAGAGAGAGAGGAGCTTAAAGCTTAGAGAGAGGATTAAGATGATGATTGTTGGTGAATGAAAACGGAGGAAGACGACCCTATTTATAGGATAAAATGATGGAAAAGATCATAAAAATAGTCAGAATTCGACTCGGAGTAAAACGCCTTTCATCGCGTAACGATGGATCCATCGCGTCGCGATGCTTATATTGCTGCGCGATATTAGCATCATTGTGCGATATTTCCATTGCTGCGCGATACTTTTCAGAAGATAAGATCCGTACGGAATCCGACTTCCAATAAAATTGGGTTAGTCGAATATCCGTACTTATCCTTATTTTATTAGAATTAAATCTATTAAAAACAAGTATTTTATCCAATATAAAATTCTTCATCTTTATATTTTCAAAAAGAGGATAAATTAGAACCTTCTAGAAGATTCTAGAAGCTAATAATAAATCCTAAGGGTTTTAGGAATGATGTTAAAGGTTAATGGACCCTCCACATGATCATTGGGTCGTAGGTAAGACTCGGTTTGGGCTCGGTTTAGTATTTTGGCCATAACTTCTTCTTTATAACTCAGATTTGGGCTTCTAATATATCGTTGGAAAGCTCTTTTCAAGCCCCATCCAACTACACAATAATTAGACCCATATTATGGACCAAAATAAACTGGTTTAGACGTTTTTATAAAGAGGACACGAAAAAGATTATTTTAAGGACACGAAATGAACGATTTTGGGTTAAAGGGCACGAAATAAATGATTTTGGCTAAAAACATTTTAAGAAAGGTTATAAATGGTCAAGACTTAGGAAATTCACGAGACTCTACAACTCTTCACCTTACTCGATAATCAAGGACGTGAAAGGTACTCATCACTGGGTTTGGTTTTTGGGGAGACATAATCAGGTGTCTACACTTGCACATTTAATTACAGCAAACACAAAACAATATATAACATGCCTAAAATAGTATGTAGTATGTATTATGACAAGATAAATTATTTAGAATTAAGATATTGATCTGCTAGTCAATACAACTGATAAGTGGTTTATTTGACCACTTATTATGGTGATTTTAACTCGGTTTTGTAGTCTTTTCCCCTCTTTCTAACCCCTTTTGTATATAAATCTTGCATTTTGGCTCTGCCCCCTCCTTGTGTGTTTGTGTCCTTGATTTGCAGGAATAGGTGAAGTTTTGGCAAGCAAGAATAGCTCTTGAAGGACTTAAGATGAAGCAAGAGTGAAGAGGGAGAGACCGCTCTAGGAGGAGCGGGCGTGCACCTCTCTAGGAGCGGGCGCTCCTTCAAGACTTCAACATTCTGCCAATTTATGAGAACAACAGTTTTTAGAATAGTTTTCAGCAAACTTCCTCTTAGTTAGCACCTTAGTTCATTAAATTAGTTGATGATTTAGCTTAGAAACTCTCAAATCTAATCATTGTAGAAGCAAACTTCAAGCTTCATTCTCAGATTTTCAGCATTTGTATTATTCAATATTTGAAGCTTCAATTAGTAACTTCTTTCACTTACCTCTACTTATTTTCTGATTTTATTTTGATATTGCAAGAGTCTTTGAATCTCTCTTGAACTTGTTAATTTGTTGTTGCATGTTAGTTTTATCTTTAATAAATCACTTTTCCCCAATTTTAGAATTAATTAGAACCCAAACTTGGAACTTTGTTGTGAGTAGTCCTCTTTGCTAAGGGTTGGGTGAAGCTTAACCTAATGGTTAATTAAGTGAAATTGGGAGAAGCATTGTTGATTGAATTGTGATTAAATTGATTATATGAGATTGCTTGTTAGTTCATTTTGATTGGAGTAACTACCCTTGATTTTGGGCTTGATGGCATGATATGCTTGGTTTGACATGGGAATGTAGATTAAGTTTATCATTACTTATTGCAATTTGATTATGTAGTATCTCCTATTGCTAAACTAATAAAGGATCTAAGTTTAGGAGTGTGAGTTGTATTCTTAATTGCATGAGGTTGGTCTTACATGTAGTCCTTGCTATCTCTTGTCTCTATTTGCTCCCAATATGCTTGATTACCATGGTTGAGTGGATCCCATTCCCTAGTGTTTTTAATTACTTGATTTAGAACAATAGTTTATTTGTCTACTTGACGAACCCTCAATCAACAAAAGTCTTCAAACTAGCTTGCGTATTAAGATCTTTAGCGATTATATCCTATTCCTTGTGGACCGAACTCTTACTTATCATTGTGCTTGGTTTGTGAGATGTTTGCTTATAAATGTGTTTGAATGAGTGTGGAACGTGCGACCATTCTAACGCCCATCAACAACACCCATTTTCCAACCCATAATTATATGTCCCTTTAATTCACAATCATTTGTCCAACTCAATATTTTAACATCCTATCCATGAGTACATTATTTATTAAGATCATCTATAAATACTTTAATTATATTGTGTTTCAATATCAGCACTAAACACAAAAAAATTTACTTCTTTTTTTGTGTTATTCAACTTTTTTTGTTAACATTACTAGTGTAAATTTTGTGTCCAAGTCATTAGAAATGACCTTTAAAAGCACCTCTTCTATAGCTCTTTTTCTTTCATTAAGCCTTATCTTATCTAACCTTGCCTTCGCTACATATGTAGCACAACCTCTTAAGAGGTGCCCTTCGGATGCCCTTAAGTTGAATGCGTGTGTGGATGTGCTTAATCTTGCACACCTTCAAATTGGATCTTCTAAGATGGAATCATGTTGTAGTCTTGTAAGTAATCTCATTAAACTCGATGGCGCTACCTGTCTTTGCACCGCTATTCATGCTGACGTCTAAGACCTTGTTAGCCTTGACCTCAATGTTGGTTTTACAACTCTTGTTAACTATTGTAAGCTCCCTAGTGGCTTCCAATGCCCTTCATGTCGTGCCTAATTTGTGATTTGTTCTTATTAAATATTTGTATTATTGTCTTTATCATTTAAATTAGATTCACTTCTCATGTATTGTATGGGTGTCACTAAATTTGGATGTTGATGAAGATTTTTAATAGTAAATGGATTATATCAAAAGCTTATGATTTGTTATGAAGTCTCTTTATCTATATATGATAATCATATATTGCTCTTCAAATTCATTAAGTGGACATTATGGGTGATGATCCAGTGATTTATATTACATTTAAGGGCATTTAAAAAAAAAAAATCTATATCGAAAAATGCCACCTTGATTATTGATAATACCTTGCGTGCAACTCCATCCACTGTGTTACTAGATAATATGACATCTAATTAAGTCACTTGTAACAGGTATACAATATCATATGTAATGTTGATAAATGATTTTTCTGGTTAATTTTCTATTTAAATTTTCATTATGCTATGAAAAGTTACTGCTCTTTAAATTAATTTTTAATATCATGAAAGATCGATGATATGTTGAAAGTCTTGAAGGCATTTTAGATTTTTTTGGGGAGTGAATGTCTCCTTGGTCACTCATATTACTATCAACAACATGTTATAGATCAAGTTAATCTACAAAACTAATTGCGACTCTAACCGTTGAAATTTAATTGGTAATGTAATGTTAATAGATAAATTTTAGTTTTATATGTAGTTACATGTATTCGATATTTTTTTTTATGGCAAAGGATGTCTTGGTATATATGTTGATTATTTACAAACAAATGTATGTCACGCAGTAATTTGATAATTTCGCTTATTTTATGGACATTTTGGTAAATTCATGGACAGTTTCTTAGG